GAGATTATCAGAGACAGGAGTAAATAGTTTAAGCACTCCATATGGCAGGGCCAATCCAATTTTCTTAATCTTTATATTTACTGCAGACACTCGTAACTGGAAGAGAATACGGTCATTCCGGAAATGGTATTTTTGCTTCTTACTCATAATGCGTCGAAGCCACCGCTGTTATATGCTTCCCAGCCATCGTCTTTGGTCCTTAATCAGGAGTACGGTTTTCATGGTGTGCAACAATACTGACCACACGTAGACAAAACTCACAGGTGGACTTTTACGCAACGCTATGCGTCAGTCCAGACACAGAAAAGCTATATGAAGATTTTGTTAGCAAGAATAACTCGTCTGTTTAACTCCAATTCATTGGCACCGCTGATGTTATTCACGGGACTGAGAGAGGTATTTCGACCAGTTGATTTTTTGCACTGTTCCAGATGCCTGCCGTATTTGAGGATCCGCTTTGACAAGCGGATTTCATAAAATTTTCAGCGTTCAAACGATTAAGAAAAATTCCGGGTTTGAACGTCTCCTTCCATTCGAAAAGCTAATTTGCATGTTAATCACCATGACAACCTCATCAGCTTACATCTTGTCAGCGCCAGCAAAATATTTAGGCAGACATCATGAACGGTACCTTCGATCTGAAATAAGACCCGAGTCTTCGCCAGGGTCAGCATTGTTTCAGAGGCGAAAATCAGAAAAAATATTCAGTAACAACAGCTAAAGTATCTCTTTGGTGAAATCCAAAATGAATAAGAAGCCACTGATTTAACTCTCCTTCGATTCTGGCAGCATACATTGATAAAGCGTAAATCTCAGGTGCTCAGGTTTACTTTGGCAACATGAAATTTTCCTCAACATTTGACGATAAACGAAACATAAGGCTCAAAAAATGGCGCATCAAGGCAAGTGGAATTGCTGACAGCTCTCAGACTCAACGAAGAGTAAAATTCAGTCAGGACAAGAAATCTGTCTGATTTCGTGAAGTATCTCATCGGTTTCCTGCTCCAGCGTTTCCAGGATAGGTAAAGAGCAAAGTTTTCCGGAAGTTTATGGTAGTGTGATCCCGCAATAGGTAGTAGAGGTAGGCAAATCCGTTGAGCGTTGGACTCAAAACCGAATAGTTCCAAAAATAGAAAACTAAACGTCATAATTGCCACGTTGCTGTTGTCGATTGTGCCCTTAAAATAATGTGCTCCTGGCTAATGCCACGGAAATAGAGACCAGCGCCCCATCATCAATTTTATGGGGAAAAGGGGCCAGCAACGGCTCCGTCATGAAAGTGCTTTGAAGACCGTCATTCAAACAGTCGCAAACTTTCCTTTCCTCGGTATCGACACTTCATGATCCGCCTTTTTCTAAATATGGGAACAAATATTCCACACATCAGTTCTGTACGGATACATCTAGAGGTCTACATCTGATGAATGAGGGCGTGATAACATTATGATTCCACTTTGTTATCACGCTGCTAAATGAACACTTAGTCATGGTTCCGTGGTAAAAACAAATTTTACCATTTTTAACTCAACTACCATTCGTAGCTACTTGCCTTAGTACAAAAGTACCAGTAGAGTATATCATAAAATTTGGTATTGTACTTAATAACGCTGACACTGTAATCTCTATGATAATTCTGCACTAAACTCGGCACCAGATTCTAAGCACAGGAACGTTCTCTGGTGCTTCAATGATTAAAACCGAGAACGAAATGAGGGATGGTGCTACTTGCGCCAATAGTAATGTCTTAATGAATGAGTTGAGCACTCTGTGATAAGGTCAGGCTTGGTTTTAAAAATTGGCCTACAGAAAAATAAGAGTTTGCTCCAAACTCTCCTATAGCTATTGACCAGCGATTGAAGAGCCCTGGGAAAACTACTGCAGACGATATCACAATCTAGAGACCTGGATTCGCTCGCAAAGCACGATATCAACTTAGCCACTTTCTGAAAGTATCAGGGGCCAATATATTCTTCGGTCTAAGCTTACACTTCGCTTAGATCGGTATGATACGATCAGTACAGCTCACA